CACCTGGGCCTCCCGATGAGACAAGAGCAGGGCCACAGTGAAATAGTGGGGCAGGTGAGCAGGTAGCACCAAGCCAAGGAGGGTGCAAGCAGAGACCAGATCATCTCACCGATCACCCCACAGACAGAGACCAGTGGCAGCGGTGGGGGATGGGGGTGGGGAATGGGAGGTGGGGGGTGGGGCTCCCATCCAGGTGCAGAGGGAGCCAAGTGGGGGTCCTGGCCCTAACCAATTGACCTGCAGGTGGGATGGTGGAGTAGGTTAGGGGGAGTGCCAGGCCAAGGTGGAGTGCCAACTGGGACTGCAGGTCTGTAAGGCTGGGGCGCAAGCTGGGGCTGCAAGGCTGGGACATGAACTGGGGCCCTATCTCTACATGCCATCCTGAGGGACCCCACCTGTGCACAAATCCATGCACCAGGCCTCTAGTATTTAATAACACTCCTCCCCCCAATTGCCTATAGACCAAAGTCCAAATTTTTTAGCTTAGCATTCAGTATCATTCCTGATCTATCTATCAGTTTAATTGTTCTCAATTATCACCTTATGCAGCCCAAAGCCTGTGTTTACACTGCAGCCAGACTTAAATACATTAGAATGCCATGTGGCCACTTCCCATATTTTCTTCATCCATCTTTGGCTTCCTTATCAATCCCATTTCCAGTCATGAATTAAGTCTCCAGCTGGACCTTCTATTGTGAAATGTTCACAAGTCAGAGACTGTCTACACTTAGAGTTACCCAATGTCAAAGCTGTGCCAATAATATCATAACAGCTAGCTCTTGGGTTTGGGAAGATTTAAAAATGATACCATGCATAAATCACTATGAAGATGTTATCATTATGATGCCCTTAGTTCTTAGCACATAATAAGTATTCAATAAAGATTATCTGTTTCACCTTCTATTAGAAAGGCATTAGAGACTGGAAAATCTCTTTTGCAAATAAATTAGTTAAGGTAAAGCTACATACTGTTTAAAAAATTAGAATGACATAGCACAGTAGAAGTTTATTTCTCACTCATATAAAATCGAAAACAGATGTTCCTGGTAGGAAAGGGAGGAAGTAAGAGTGGAGGAAGGCCCTGCTTCACACATGAGCCCTAAGTTGATGGAGAGTTCACCACTTCCCACCTGTGGATTCCAACATCACTTTGTTTGTTGATATCCACTTGACAGATGGGGAGAGAGAAAGCACAGAGAAGGCTCCGTTTCTTAGTTATCTTGGCTGAGAAGGGACACACATCATTTCTGCTCATATCCCACTGGCAAGAATGGGTACATAGTCCCACTTGGATGCAAGGGAGGCCAGGGCTTGGGAACATGGGCCCTGGCTGGTCAGGGCTTCTCAGCAGAAGCGAGAGAGGAGATGAGGCAATAGACAGAACAGAACTCCAGACTTGCCTGCCTAGAATACAAACTGGAGCTTTGTGGCAGATGAGAATAGTGAGGCAAGGGCAGAGAGAGTAAGGGAACTAGGACCCCATCATTAGGAATTTTTATTTTGGTTTAAGAGATATCTATAAATCAGACCTTGAAGAAGAGATAACTTCATAGACAACGATGAGCTACTTGATAAATAATGATGATTAAGTCAACTACTGTAGCTTCAGAAAAATGTTTATTCATTAGAAAAATGAACCTCGTTTTCATTGGTAATTTTTAAAAGTGAATCATTGCATCACTAAGGCCTCCAGACAGAACTCTCACATCCCTTTCAACTATCTGTTTTGATCGGTGAGCTTTCCAGTTGCTCCAGTTATACCCATGGGCCTGCAGGATCCCCTTCTGTGAGTGTTCATTTGCTATTCCTCTTAATGGCTCCTCTGCTGTGTTGGCTTCTCTTCCTTTCTTTGGGCCCAGACTAGTCATTTCTAAAGCTCATCAGTATCCAGTGAATACTAGGCACCACTTCAGAGAGCCTCAAATGCGTTATGGTGAAAAATTTAACACAATTTATGTGTTTAGTGCAGTTAAAATGTCATTTATTTCTCTAGGCCCGTGGTCGGCAAACTGCGGCTCGCGAGCCACATGCAGCTCTTTGGCCCCTTGAGTGTGGCTCTTCCACAAAATACCATGGCCTAGGCGAGTCTATTTTGAAGAGGTGGCATTAGAAGAAGTTTAAATTTAAAAAATTTGGCTCTCAAAAGGAATTTCAATCATTGTACTGTTGATTATTTGGCTCTGTTGACTAATGAGTTTGCCGACCACTGCTCTAGGCTTATATGATTGTCAAACATAAAATTAATCTTAACTATACAGCATTCAAATTTTAATACCTTTATTAAAGTGTTAAAATAGAATTTTTCTTAAGTATATCAATATAAAAGATACTGCTTTCCTATAAGATAATTTGTATCTCCCACATTAACTTTCACTATCCAGAAACATATCTTTGATTTTATAATAGAAGTCAATGAGAAAAGGAAATTTATTGTGTATAAATTCATAGTCAACTTTTTTATGTTCACATCTATCCAATAATATATAATGTTCTTCATATAATCTAGTTATACCATCTAATTTTAACTATAGATTCCAAAAATGTTATTTTTCCTCCTGATGCTACCGCCATCACTGCTACTACTGTGCCATCTAGTGGCTCATGTTGTGTTGTTATCTATTCTTTGTTGAGATAGAATATGCCTTAAATGCCACACAGAAAGGTCCAATAAGATTCTTTATTTGGTAAAAAGGAGGATAATACTGTTACATAAAATAACCAATGTTAAGTCATCAAAAAGTTTACAGTAGATCATGTGTAAACTCTTACTTAGCCACTATAATTAAGAAATGAAGCGTTCAGAGCAATTGAATATATTTGTTAACTTATTGTATCACAATACATGAACCATATGTACATGGGTGGTTTACCAAAAACCAGAATGCAAAAAAATAAAGTTAAATTAGCTTTAATTTCACTATTGTTATTCATATGCTTTAGGGACCAATAAGTGTATACTTAAATATTTTTTAAAATGTATATTTGAGTTTTCTGGTTGGGTTTAAAGTTAAATGTGATCCTCTATCTATAAAGAACCAAACTTACATGAAGCAATGTGAATACTGGCAAGTCCACTGTTTTATTTTTTATAGAATTATAAATGCATGATCTTATATATTGCCTTATTCCTGGTGAGTATTAAACAAAGATTGAGAGATAATGATCATGGTTTTTATTGTTTAGTTATAGAAATGCCTCAAGTTGCTTTGTTTTTCAATGATCTCAAAGTGATAGAAGAGATTTCTTTTTTTGCTACATACTTTTCCAAAGGTAAATTATAGAATGAGTGCTTTTACTGCTGAAGATAAAAGGACAAAAATCAAAATAGTAGTTTCCAAACATAAACAGATAATACTAGAACAAAATATAAGAATTACTTATTACATCTTGGTCCTTGAAACAGCAGTTATTACAATAAAACACGTATTTTTTATTAGTAAGGGGACAGTTGTAATTACAATCTTCCTGAAGGACTTCATTAGAATCAGACACAGAAATACAAGGTTAAGAATTTCTACTTAAAAAAAAGTTTTTCTACTTAAGTTCTTAATTTGAACTAAGCGTTTTTACTTGCTTTTTCTCATTTCATCCAATAGCCTGACAAAATATCATTGTACAAACAAAGAAACTGAGGCTTGAATCAGTCAGTAACTTGTTCCAGGGCAGTAAAGGACTTCATCTGGATAGAACCTAAGTATGTCAGATTCTGGGCCTTGGCTCAGAAATGTGACAAGAAGTATTTTATAACCACGCTATGAAAGCCTGCATTGTCCACACTTCTCAGCAAAGCCCAGCCAAAGGCACAGCAGCCATGCACTCTCCAAGTTGCCATAAGCAAACCAATGGGACAGCAAAGCATAAGCAGTAGTTATAGCTCAAACCGGTATATTACTTTGGGTTACCTGCGGGCCAACCTGCCATTATTGCAGAAGCCAGGCTACCAATCATTTGAGTAACGTGATTCTTAAATATCAAGGTAGGTCAGGGCAACATCAGACTTTTTAAAGAATATAATCATGACCGCAGAAGAGTGTACTTTTCTTTCTGGTTTCCTCAAAATGACTAGCATTAGGTTTTTTATTCAGAAAGGCTTATATTATAACACCTGTTATTGTTCCTCACTATGTCTTTCAACTATCTGTTAGACCAAGGTGCCAGGTCACACTGATTTTTACCTTAAGTCAAAGTTCTCCTTAATCTTTTTGTTTGAAGGACAAAACTTGACTCTCTTAAGTAGAACACTATGCCACAGGTAGACCAAAGTACGAAGGCTAAGCTTTCAACTATCATTGTTAGAAAGTGATTTATTATACCCATCATTATTTCTCTTTGTAGGATTGAAACAAAGAGGAAAAGAATATAATTAAAACTTGGGATAATGGTACAATGGAAATATATGTTCTTATCCTTCAGTTTATTTGGACTCCATGAGGAAGAATAAAGGAAATGTGTAAGGTAGTAACCACTAGGGAAAAAAAAAAAAAAAAAAAAAAAAAACGTAATTAACACAATATTTTTTTTTTTTTACCAACTAGAACTTCTATTGCCTAAGTCTATTAGTTGTCTCTAAAGGAATGGGCAAGAGAAAAAAAAACATAACATCCCTCATTCTGTTACTCTAAAAAAAACACACACACACAATAGTATTTCTGTGACAGTGAAAGAAAATGAAGCATTTGGCTTCCACTTGAGGCTGTGACCATTATAAAGTCACAACTAAACTCATTGCCTCTAGCTGTTAAATGCCAAATAACTCTCTCGTTTTTAAACATTGACTTTTTCATTCGTTTTAGGTACCTGAGCCAAGGAATAATTAAAATTCCTCCTAATTTAAGCCTGACCACAGCCTAAGATGCTAGAACACACCACCAATATCAAATGCAAAGTCTTGCACTACCTGGCATATGTGTCCTCACCTAGACTGAGAGATTGCCTCCAGAGTTGCACGCAGAATTATCCGTTACTACCTTGGCTTTCCCTTTAGACCCCGGAAGCTCACTTTAAGGAGTGGGAGAGCAGGAGCTCTCTCCTTGTGCATATGCCTGACACTGAGAAGTGACACAATAGGGCCTGTAGCTAATTCCCACTGGCCTAGGAAAAAACCAAAATGCCTTCCAGTCCTGAAAATATTTTTTAAAAATATGTTTTATTGATTTTTTTTTTACAGAGAGGAAGAGAGAAGGATAGAGAGTTAGAAACATCGATGAGAGAGAATCATCAATCAGCTGCCTCTTGCACACCCCCTCTTGGGGATGTGCCCGCAACCAAGGTACATGCCCTTGACCAAAATCGAACCCAGGACCTTTCAGTCCACAGGCCAATGCTCTATACACTGAGCCAAACAGGTTTTGGCCTGAAAATATTTTTAATATGTTAATTTTTATGTTACAGCTAAACATATTTCTGTTGTAAATGTATTTATTTGTTTTCTTTAGAAAAATATCTGATACTCATTGATGTAAGACATACTGATAAAAAGAAAAAGACAGTAAATTAGAGGAAAGTAAAATTGATTTAAGGCAGGACACTCTTAGTAAAGAAGCAGGTAGTGAGCCAGGGCTTTGGAGAACGGGGAGAGATGTAGAGACTGGGGAAGCAAAGAGGAGAGCGAAAAAGAGAAAGGAATGAAGAGCTTGTGTTTTCCCCCTCATAGCTCCCTCTGCTTATGAGCATCATCTGTCTGAAGAAAGACACACCGCAGCAACTTCTGAAACTCATCCATATTTTCTGTTATTTTAGCCAGGATTTAAGATCCTAATCTCTGGCCCTGACTGGTTTGGCTCCGTGGATAGAGAGTCAGACTGCAGACTCAAGGGTCCCAGGTTCAATTCCGGTCAAGGACATGAACCTTGGTTGCAGGCACATCCATGGTGGGGGTTGTTTAAAAGGCAGCTGATCAATGTTTCTCTCTCATGGATGTTTCTAACTCTCTATTCTCTCCCTTTCTCTCTGTAAAAAAATCAATAAAATATATATATTTTTTAAAAGATTCTGATCTCTGAAACAAATTTGTTGTGTTGAAGTTCCTGAGACTATGGACCACTTAAGTGTGATTGCTTATTCCAGAAATACCGTGGGCAGGTGGCCTGTCAGATGTCTTTCTCCAAATTGCCTTTAATACATATGTTGAGCATCTCCTTTCCTTCTATTTAAGTGCTTCTTAAAAACAGAAAGAGCCTTCAATTTTCTCTTTTAAGTTGTGTGTTGTTCAACGTGTAGGAGTGTATTTTTTGCTTCAAAAGGAGTTAACAAAAAGATGGTAATAGCAAGCCTGAGAATCTCAGACAGAGACTGGAGTTCTGCAATCATGGCCATTCAGACTGCTCTTCCTGTTATTGTCCCTTGCAGTTAAGTGAGGATTCGTCTTACCTAACGCTCTTGAGTCCTTAGAGACTCCATTCCTAGTAAGGCAGTGTCAACAGCAGAGAGCTAAGTGCCTTTTATGTATTGTTTCATTAAATCCCCACAATAATGCAAAGTGTTAAGTTACTACCTCTATTTCACAGATGAGTGCACTGAGACACAGAGAAATTAAAAACTTACCCCAAGTCATGCCACTGGGAAGAGCTTGTAGAATTTGAACCCGGGAGTCTGTCTTCAACATTTACCATCTTTATGGTCACATTCTACTACGTTGGTAGAATTACAATAGATTCTCTTGCTTAATTACTTCTCAAACACATGTTTACCTTCCCTGATTTACCCACTGACTTAATACTAATTAGATCATCATCAATTCTTGCCTGGATTTGCTATCATAACCTCCTCACTGATGGCCCTATCTTAGGTCTCTTTTCACTTGCTGGTATATCCTCTGCCCAGCTGACAGTACTTCTTCCCAACTGTCAATCTCATCAAGCCCCTCCCTGTGTCTTTCAGGTTGGAGCTTAGTACACTTCACCTCTTAGCAACCCTGGGTCTGTGTGCTGTGAACCCAAGTCTTCTATCCCCCTTCCCCTACACATCCCAGCAATCCTGTCCTACTAAACCACCTAAGTCTTCCCAAATATGCCAGGCTTTTGCTTTCTGCCTGGAGTGTGACTCCCTCCTTCCATGTAGTTATTTTCTACTAGTCTTTCCAGGGGGCATCTCTCAGCCCCGCCCTGTCTATCACAGTGTCTGGGCACAGCCCACAGCACAGCCATCCTCCAGAAGCTCCTACTCAGGTCAAGAGGTAGACAACTAAACCAAGGAATGGGCAACTCCTATTTTCAAATCATGGATCTTAAAATTCCATAATGCACAGTCTTATTCACAGATATATAGTTTTACAGTATTCACAAAGAAAAGCTTCATGCTTTGGATTGCTATGTTTTCAATGTGAAAGATACTCTGAGTAGTCAAGGAGACTTGGCCATGATTTGTGTTTCTAGATGCACCTTATGACTCTCCTCATTTTGCAAGTCTCCTGGGAAACGAACTGTAAGGTGTTGTTACAACACAGCTCATGTTGTTAGTTTTGTTTTCCTTGGCAGTTGTGGCTTTTGTTTTATTTATTTCTTTATGTTCTTTCTTTCATTTCCAAAAAAAAAAAAAAGAGGCTGAAGATACAAAAATAATAAAAAATAAAATATTAAATAATATATTTTTATTTTATTAATAAGGATTTTATTTTTTTATTTCTTTATTGATCAAGGTATCACATATTTGTCCTCAACCCCCAATTCTAAGCCCTACCCTCCTACTCATGCCCCCAGTCCCCTATTGTCCTTGACCACTGGTTAGGCTCATATGTATGTACGTAAGTCCTTTGGGTGATATTTTATTTTTTTAAAAACTAAGCACAGACTATTAATCTATACATTATTGAGCTTGGACACTTCCTGGGCTGGCAGTTCTGGAATAAGATTAATCTACAATCAAGTGAGGAGACAGGGCAACCCAGAAACGATGGACGAGATCAGCCTGTGCTCTTGGGCTCGACTCTGGCAGGTGATGAGCTTTCCCCTCAGTCACCATTTTGATATCTGACCTTCTGGGCAGCTGACCAATTGGGTAATGATATGTTTGTGCAGGTGAAAAGCCAGGGAGAAGGGGTTGCACTCTACTAATACCATCGTCTATTTTGGAAGATGCTTAGATATAAATTGACCAAAACACATTTACTTAAATCACACTAATAGACTGCTGAATACAAGATGCCATTGACAAAGATGTGGGAATTCTTGGAAAGCCAAGCAGAGACTACAAGCAGAGAGTATCAAACTAGTAAGAACCACGGTCCTTCCCCTACTATCAGACACCAGAAATATAAATATGTATGAAGCCCTGTAGAAGTTCCAGATCTTAGAAAATAAAGCCTTCTAAACCTTTACAAGACTTGCAACATTTTAAACACCATGGGGCTGGGTATCAGGGAGTCTTATTTGGAATCTAGCCTCATCTTCTTTTGGATGCCCTCTGAACTTTAAGGACTAGGAGTCTAAAAATTACATTTTTGAGAATCAGATGGAGTTTAGTTTTAAATGCTATTTGGGTCTGGCTAATGACATGAACTCCTAGAAATATCGAAAGCAGAATTTCAGGGAAGCCCACCTTTGCAGCAAGTTCCCTCAACCGTAAGTGTTTGTGGGGGCTGGACTCTCCTCAGGTCTAGGTCTCAGTGTCAGGGGTGTGAGCAGCTGTGGTGGCGGCAGCTGTGACAGCAATAGCAGTAGCAGCAATAGTGGTGAGCCCCATAGCGCAGTGTCAGCCCGTAACCTTCCAGAGGGGCTATAAGAACCTATGTCAAATTTCCTCCTAATTGAGAAATCTGAACTGGTTTCTATGTCATGCACTGTGCTCTGATGTCACATCTGAACAGCAGCTTGAAGAAGCCTGATTTATTCATGAAAAGATATGATTTTCAGCATCTGTGACTAACTCTGTTTTGGGGTCAGAAAATATACCCCACACTGGAGTAAATGTCAACTGTAGGCCTGTTTATGAATGTGGTATTTCCATATGTATCCTGTGTTTTTAAAGCATGTGAGGCAGAAACTGAGGGATTGATAGGTACAAGAGCAATCTCTGTCTGTGGAAAGAGTGGCCTCAGGATTGGTGAAAGGGCCAATAATGAAACTTTTTTTTAACAATTACTAGTAGTTCTTCTCCTCTGTCTCCATCATCTCCTCTGCTGGATCCCTTTTCCCAGATCTCTGAATGTTGAAACATCCCATGGTCCACACCTTGGATTTCACTCTGCACATGTACTCTCTCCCTAAGTGGTTTTATCTGGTCATGTGCATTTAAATGCCATCATTACGATGATGGCTCTAGGTCCTCATGGCAGACCCTTTCCAGTTCGCCACATGGTTAGTTTGTTCACGGATGGGTCAGTGGAAGGATTGTAGGAAGGCCTGAGTAACTGACCAACATGCAGATGTTCGGGTTTTTTGGTATCCATATGATTGATGAACAGTCGTTAGAAACAACCCACAAAATATCTTTCTGGGACTAAGGGATGAAGACTATTCATCTTACACTGAGGCTCCTGGTATAGTAATAAAACAGATAAAGGACAAAACAATGTTACAAAAATGGTATATTTTAAATGTTTACATTTAATAAATTGGTGCCTTTAAAGCACACACACAAATACATACAATGACTCTACTGAGAGCCTTATCTGGCATGGGCCTAATGGTCTCTTGCTCCCTGTATTACTGGTCCTGCACCCCAGCAAACTCCTAATGCCAAGCTAGACTTTGGTGAGGTGGGAGGCACTTAAATCAGAGGCTGACCTTCCTTTGAACAAAGGGAAATGGAGCTGGATTCCACACCATCAGAATTCCCATGTTCACCCAGTCACTCCAGTGTTATCTTCAGGTATTCCCATCTTTGACAAGGACCGTCTTCTTGACCTAACTGTAGTTGAGCTCTCTGACTGCTCTTCTTAACTATGCCTTCGCCTTGGCCTCCTAAACCATTTTAACTGTAGGCCTTCTCTAGTCCAGAATGCCAGAAACACAAACATTTACAAAGAGAATCCTACCATCCTTGATACCTAGTCATGTTCCTCTCCCCCTACTTTTGATATCTATCAGGTCTCTCTTATTAAATTCCATCCACTGCCCTCAACCTACCCTTCGGCTGTAAATCCCCAGCAGCCGTTGCTGTGCCTAGAGTTAAACTTTCTGTACCAAAGTCTTTCTCCTCTATTGCAGTAGGTCAAATAAAGTCTGTCATTTTTAAATATGTTTGGTGCAATCTTTTTGACACGTTATACCCTTCCTTAAACACAGCTTACTTAAGATGAAAAAGCACGGTAATCTCAGAAATGAGGCTGATAGAATAGCATGAAGTTGTCATATTAGATGTTCAGTGGGAGTCCTGCTAGTTCCAGAGTAATTACCATTTCCACATCTGAATGAGTCACTTAAAAACATAAGATAGGCCCAGCTGGTGTGGCTCAGTGGTT